GGCTGAAGGCCGGGCAAAAGCGGGCCAAAGACCCGCCCAAAATGGGGTCTGGGGGCGAAGCCCCCAAAAATTTTTTAATTCCCTCCCCCCTCCCATTAGGAAAATCTTGGCTACGCCTATGTAGTACTAACAGATCACAAACCGGAAAACAAATTTTTTTTAGCATATTTCCCTTTAGGGAAATGATTTTTGAGCTAACATTATTCTTTACTACTAAATTTGTTTCTACGTCTAAAAGTGATTCCATTAAGATAGGCCTTTTTGTGCAAATAGAAATTCATCTGTTTCTTTAAATATTGAAAGAAAAGATAATAGTTTTTCTACTAGATCTGATTCATAGTTTTTTATTTTCTCCAGATACCTTTCAAGCATAATTAATATACTATGCCATCTGGTTAGGACATCTAATAAACTTTTGATTGATTACATTCAAAATTGATGTCAAATGATGTGAAAATATTTATTAAATAATTAAAACTATTTTAAAAAATATTTACCACGGCCATGTACCGCAGATACTAAAATCGGCAGCGCATCGGCGTAATTTTAATAAATATAAAAGACACCGAGAAGGGGTCAGATAAAAAGTAAACTCAAAGCGACATTTTTTAGCGTCGCCAAAAATATCGGCGATCGGCGCACAGGTCTAGTGTCCCAATTAAATTTTTAATCTTGATAAATTAATCAACTGTTTAACTTTTGCAAAAATCTGGGGCCCAAATTAAACCTATTCAAACATTATATAAAGTTTGGTTGTTAAATAAGCTTATAATATATAAATAATATTAATAATTATCTCATAAACAGATGTAGATGTATACCTTCAAGAAATGAAAAAATTTCGAGAACACCAGAAAGTTAAGGTGCCATCAGGTGTTATTGGGAAAAAATTGCCTCAGTCTAAATATAAGTACCAAAAACGCTCAGTGGTCATTGCCATGCCCGTTTTCTAAAGTAGGAATCTATTTTGCTTTAGAAAACTGCTTGAGGCAATATGGGATGAAGGATGCTCACACTGATAAGTTTTTATACTCTGTAATGAAGAAAAGATCCTCGCATTTGTGCATGTATTAATTGGTAATGTTGCTAAAATATTAATTCTTATATATTTGGAAAAAACTTAGATATATTATAAAGTATCCATGCGATTCTGAAGGATTATATATGAAAGAGGAAATTATACATATATAGTTATTATTGATATTATGGAAATATATGTATGAATATATGGTATTTGTTATTTTCAGGGAAGGCAGGAGAGGCAAGACTGATATTATTTGAAATTCATTTTAAAATCTTTTATTTTTCTATATCTGTTACTACTAAAAATTTCGCAACTATATATATTATTATTTTAATACTATTTACATATATACAATTTACAATTTGTTTTAAGGTTACTTTAAGAAAAGTTATTTTAACGTTTTACTTATACAAATACGATATCTTTTTCTAAAGGTCGCACAAAATATATTTCACAAAAAGAAAAAAGATCATTAAATAAATTTAAAAGTAATTATGAAAATATAAATTTCAAAGGTTATTAAAATATGCAAAATTTATATATTAACAGTATTATATTATTTATATATTATGAATTAGTATATTCGTTAGTTAGATTATTTGTATGCATAATATTAGGTGGCAATGTTTAACTGCTAACATTATTAGAATGTATAAACTTCTATATTTGTATATCCAAGATATATTATATTTTTATTGTCATATCTATGATTGATCATGTTTTATAATTAAATGAATGAGTTAGGAATTATCCTATGGGATCATATGTGAAATTATCCCTTCTTAAATAGATTAGCCTTCGGATACATTTATATTATATTCTTTTAATAAAATTGAGGTAAAAAACTATTATGAAAATCGTTTAATGTTTTACAAAAGTAACACAAATTTAAAAACTTTTAAATTAAACAAAATATAACTTAAGGATAAATAAAAAACAAAAAAATAAATCGATTATTTCAATACAAATTACGCTGAATATCTTTCGATTAATTTATCTAGATTTCATAATATTAACTCATACTTATAATTTTTCCAATTAATGTATATTTTTTGCAATTAATTTAACGAAAAACGTAATTACCACGTATTTCCGATGAACTTTCATAATTCTTCATACTTTCAATTTTTCCAATCAATGTATATTTTTTGCAATTAATTTAAACATAAACGTAATTACCACGTATTTCCAGTAACCTCTAAACTTCCTAAATCAATGACGATTTTATTTTATACTCCTGAAGAATTTTACCATAGCCCATACCCCGTACCAGGCGCGTAACCAATGGGGGGAAAGGGGGAAATTCCCCCCCCCATCGCAAATTGGACTGTTTTCATAAATATCATTTTAAGCTAATAAAAATTTTACCCTTCACCCCCCCCCCCCCAAATCAAAATTTTACAAATATTTGAATATCAATTTTCCAACATAACACTTATTTTTTATAAATAAATTTTATTAAAATTTACTTTCCTTGTGAGTACATTAACATTATTCAAAAATATTAATAAAATGGAAAAACATTAAGTTCAAAGAGATTGAAATCAAATGGTAATTTATTTTATTATTATTTAAATTCAAAATATTAGTAAGTTAGAATTAATAAGTATTTTTAATATTAATTATTAATAAATATATATAATTTTTTAAATATTTTATTTTTACTTCGATTTTGTAGAACAGAAGAAATAGAAATACAAAAGTTAAATAAGGCTGAGCAAAAGTAATGTGTCATCAGAAGCAATATCATTATTGAATTCAATTGATCAATCAGAGTTTATCATTGCTGCTAGTTGCATTCCTATAGCTCACTACTTTGTAGAAATTTGCAAAAACCAAATTTAGATTTGGTTCAGGTTATTGATTAGGCGAAAAATATATATGAATAGGTAGATACAATAAGAATGAATGTAGATGAATATTTTCATAATATTTATATAGACGTTGAATCGAAGGCTAAAATTTATGATATAACACTAATTAAACTTCGTCTAGCACCTGGGCAATTAATGGGATGTAAAATAAATATTGGCTCAACTGAAGAATATTATAAAATATCCACTTTCATCCCATTATTAGATACTTTTTTATCGCAAATAAAAGTACGGTTTTTAGATAAAAAACAAGTCTTTAGCAATCTTCAAGTTTTAATACCCAAAGATCCATCTTCGTTTTCTAATGCCACTATTGGCAAAATCAAATATTTAGCAAAATTTTTTTCCTATGATATTGATACTGAAATAAATTTAATCAGTGAATTTGAATTGTGATAAATATTTAATACGTTTAGCTATTTTACCTGAGCATGCTATTGATGCGTTCAATCGGTGTAAAGAAACCTTGGCTCAAATTCCTAATATTTTGAAGATGTTTTATATCCTACCTGTTTGCCTATTATAACATGTACGAATGAAAGGACTTTCCAACTTAAGAAGGTTGAAAACATATTTATGAATTACTAATTCCGAATCTCGGCTAAATGGGTTAGCTCTGTTATATATACACAGAGATTTGGTCCCAAAGACAAACAAAATTCTTGATGAATTGGCAAAATTCCCACGAAAATTAAAAATCGCATTATAATTATAGTATTTAATAAAAAAATTTGTATAATATTGTATTTGATAAGAAGTTTAAAAAAACTTGTTTTTTTTAATTATTTTCTATTCAATATTTTATAGTGTTGTTAAACGCCTTGTTTTGAGCCGATTTTTAAAAACGGCTAACTCAGTTATTTATCCAGAAAAATATAATGCAAGCCTGAAAATTTTGCTCATAGAAGGAGCAAAGGTCTAGACATATAGTATCGAAATTTTGAGGTTTAGTTAATATTTTTCTGGTGAAAATATTGAGTTAACCGTTTTTAAAAATCAGCTCAAAACGAGCCGTTTAACAACATTAATATTTTATACACACTACTATTAGTATTATAAATAAATAAATTATATTATACTTATATTGTATGTTTTAGCTGAGGCTAGTTTTTAAAGCAAATTTTATAAAAAAAATGACATTAAACTTTATTTCAACTTTACATTTAAAAAACTTTATTAAATATAATATACCTAACTAAAAATAATAAAAAATAGGCTTGAAATATCCATTAGCACGAATTAGTAAATAATAGTTACAAATAGAAATATAATGATTATTAAATTATGAATAATTAAATGGAATAGCTAAAACATAAGACCCGGCCGAAAGCCGGGGGAAAGCTGGCCGAAGGCCAGATAAAGGGGGTTTGGGGGCGAAGTCCCCAAAAATCCCCCCCCCCCCATAAGAAAATCATGGATACGCCACTGCCCCGTACACTACTATACTCCTATCTAAAATTAGCAAAAAACATAAATTCAAATCAATACTCCCCATCATCCTTTAATTTTATTGACAATAGAATTTTAAACTAGCCATTCCCCTCCAATTTCAAGATCTTACGTCATACCCCCCCCCCCCTATGTAGATATCCCTTATCTCTGTGTATTCGATTTTTATATATACTATGTAATGTAGTATAGGGGTTACAAAATATGGTCATAATGGATATTTTTTATTCATTTAATAAATAAATTTAAAGATCGTTTGTCAAGAGTTTTTTTATTTGTGTTATATAGTTTTTGATATGTATTTCTGTAATTTTAATAAGCCCTAAGAATGAGAATCTAGCTAAATTACCAAAGGTTGTCAAAACAATAAATTAATATTAAAAAATATAATTTAAAGTATAATAGTTGATTTTGGATGATAATAGTGGCAGAAAGCTGAAATATTTTTTGCTTGGGGACCGGGTAATAAACATCCTGGCCCCTATTGTTAAGCTATTGTACTCCATTAAGGGCAAGTTGACAAATTTCCTTACTCCTTAGCCTGACGCTGACTAAAATATTAAATGATAAATGATTAATCTTAATACTTCTAAGAACATTTCTTTTATTGCATATGTATGTATGCATTATAAATAAAGATACACCCCAGAGGATTTAAAATTAATTTAAATTATAATTCCCTCCAAACGATTATGGCTGAAAAAGAAAGTAACTTTTTAAATCATATGTTTTGTTTAATTTTTTTCTAAATTTATATAAATAGCCTACGATGAAGCCTTAGAAGAGAGAGTGATAAATGAGGAATATAAAATTTGGAAAAAAAATACTCCATTTTTATATGATTTAGTAATGACACATGCGTTAGAGTGGCCTAGTTTAACTGTTCAGTGGTTGCCTGATATAACAAAGTTTCTAAAATTTTAACAATCTTATTATTATAAATTTTAGGCCTGAAGGAAAAGATTATACCTTACATAGATTAATACTTGGAACACATACGTAATTTTTAAAAAATTAATTAAATAGATATTAAAATATTAAATAGTTCTGATGAGCAAAACCATTTAGTAATAGCAAGTGTTCAAATTCCTAACGATGAAGCACCATTTGACGCATCTCATTATGATGCAGAAAGAGGAGGTAGGATAATATATTTTATTTGAAGATTAATTCATTTTAAAAATATCCTTTTATTATTGACATATTAGAGTTTGGTGGATTTGGTTCTGTAGCTGGCAAGATTGAAATAGATATTAAAATAAATCATGAAGGAGAAGTAAATAGAGCAAGATATATGCCTCAAAATCCATGCATTATAGCTACCAAAACTCCAACCTCCGATGTGCTTATATTTGACTATACTAAACACCCTTCAAAACCGGGTAAATTAGATATACATATATAATTGGCATTTTGTTTTAGTATTTGACAATCCAATATACAATAAAATAATTTATGTTTAAAAAAAATCTACAAATATTATCAATAGATCCTAATGGTGTATGTCATCCAGAATTAAGACTGAAAGGTCATTTGAAAGAAGGCTATGGTCTTTCCTGGAATCCTAATGTCAATGGTTATTTACTCAGTGCCTCAGATGATCATGTAATTCATTATCATCTTCTTTTTTTTAAAGTGGATTAATTTTATTTTTAATTTTTGTTAAAGTATTTTAAGTTAAATTGATCATGATTTAGCTGACCTCTAATTTTATGAGATTTTATATATAGACAAAGGTTTAATTTGTGCATGTAAAATTTAGCTAATTAATTGTTCATTTCAAGGTTAGAAGTATAAAAAAAATTATGGATGTTGATTTTCTTTTAATTAATAATTGATTAAAAATTACACTTGCAAATATTAAATGTAGTGTTAAAAATAGGGAGTACCAATATTTTTTTATTGGATCAGACCAATTATTCATCTTTTTGAAATATCAGTTATCTGACATTATTCCATTTAAATAGCATTTTAATAAATCAAATATATTAATTACGGGATATTTTATTTTAAAAAATAAGAGAAATGTAAATATGAGAATATGTTAAAAAAAATAATGATGTCATCTATGAGTAAAATCTTTAGGCTCTCGAATATTTTTTTAACATAAAATACTGAGTTTACAGTTTTTAAAAACGGGCTCAATGTAAACATTAGTTGAGACATATAAAAAATGATTTTTGATAAAATTTAATCATTTTATATTAAGAACTTGTCAAATCTGACAGGTCATGTGATTAATAATAATTTCCTTAAATTGGATCATATTCAAAAAAATATGTATTTTGAAGATTTTTTTTCAAGCTCTGCAGTATTTGAAAGCTTTATTCATCTAAAATCCTGCATTTACTGTTAGTGCAAATTCATGGCAAAGTATACAAAATATAATGTATTATTTTTATATACTTTGTAGCGAATTTGCGCTAACTGTGAACAGGGTTGGACTGTTCGATTTAGCCTATTTCAAATTAAGATTTTAGCCAAAATAATATTATGCAAGCCTCAAGATTTTGTTAATAGATGTCCAAATATTTCTGCCACTTAAAATCTTCAGGCTTGGGTAAAAAAAATTTGGCTAAAAGATAGTGGTAGCTTTTTTGACAAACACTAATCTGGCTGGATTTACAAAGAGGGAAGATCCGGACCATTGCCGGATTTGGTATATCTTTAATATATCGTCAGCAGTAGTGTTGTTAAATGGCTCATTTTGAGTCGATTTTTGAAATGGCTACAATATTTTATTAGGAAAAATATTATGCAAGCCTTAAGATTTTGCTCATAGGTGGCACAAAGGTTTAAACATCTATTAACGAAATCTTTAGGCTTAGACAATATTTTTATGGCTAAAATATTGAGTTAGCCGTTTTTAAAAATCGGCTTAAATCGAGCCGTTTAACAACACTAGTCAGCAGAGCTTTATGGTGTTCTATATCCATTTTTTATAATTTTTCAGGATAGCATTTTTTTTTTTAAAAAAGGTAGATATACACTATATTTTCGGCCAAGATATATATCAGAGCTTCAGAAGTAAAAATTTTTAGGCCTGATCCCCCTGCTTGGATTTTAATAATTTAAGCTTTGAATCATTTTGGCTATATTAATTGTTTCAAAGGGGAAATGGAAAATATGAGTAGTGAATGAATATTAAAACACTCTTACTACATCATCATTTTCTATAACTATTAATTTTATAATTTAAATCAACCTTGTTTATATTTATTTTTAATTAAAAATTTATGACCCATCTCGGGTTTTTTCAGACTAGGATTTGATCTGGGCCTCCTAGCCCCTTATATATAATCGATACATATTAAATTAATCTTTGGATTTATACCTAACCCTTCCCTCATTATAATGACACTATCAGGTTGATACTTTTTTTTAACAATATTTAAAGACTGTTTGTTTATGGGACATAAACTCTCCCCATTCCACGAAACCCAATAGTTCCTCCTCAGAAACGATTGACGCTCAAACGATATACACTGGACACACATCCGTGGTCGAAGACGTGGCTTGGCACTTGCTTCATCAAACTATATTTGGCTCTGTGGCCGATGACCAGAAACTTATGATGTTTTACATAAAACTATAATATTATACTTAACTATATAGCGATATTTAACTGTCATGCTTGTCTTTTTATTCATATCGGTTTTTTGTTTTTTTTCTCTTTAATTTTCTTATCTTTTACGCGTATTTTATTCTATAATATATTTTATAACTCCTGGATCATCCTCAACCCAGGGTATGATTATTTAAGGAATTAATTTAGGGATTTACCGATATTTCATACTTTTAAAATATCAGTTATTGGCCAATAATATAAAATTTTCCGATTTGATCCGATAAGATAGCGTCCTAATTTTAAAAATTTAAATTTGATAATATATTTGTATTGTGTAAATAGATTAATGTTATTATATAAATAAGTGATTTATCGATAAAAATATTTTATATGATTTTAGATTCATGAATATAAACTATAATTGATCATTTGTTAAACGACTCATTTTAGCCAATTTTTAAATACAGCTAACTCAATATTTTAGCCAAAGAAATATTGTCTAAGGTTCCAGATTTCGCTATTGATAAATCTATATTTTCCATTTTCAAAAATACCATTCAATATTTTATAATGATTAAATATTACTTTATTACATTTCTTTTTAAAAAATAATATTAGCTGGGATACTCGCTCTAACATTATAAATAAACCTAGCCACAGTATAGACGCTCACGTTGCAGAGGTCAATTGTCTTTCTTTTAATCCTTACAGCGAATTTATATTGGCCACTGGTTCAGCTGACAAAGTTAGTTAACATAACACAACATTGTTTTTGGTATTAAAATAATTTTTGGTTTATACAGTTTATTTTATTTATTTTTTTGGATATTCAAAAAAAAATTATCCGAGTTTTTAACCGAAAACTATCACCCCAGTCTCAAGGGTTTAACTCAACCTAGAGAAGAAAAAATTGGATTTCAAGGTATGGCGGATTTTTTGGATAGATTGTATCAGTGGAATTATTTATATTTAGCATCATTTATAAAGTTTTGACTTTATATAAGTATTATAATATTATAAAGAACGTTGTATTTATATTCTCTTCTATTTTTTTTCAAACTTAACATTAAAATTTTCTTTATCTCGATTAAAAAGTATCCCGATTACATATTTGTGTTCCTGATTTACAACATAACAATGGCTTCCTTTTGATACTTCCCATCAGACTAATACCTTGGAATTACACATGCATTGATTTTCAGCATGATTCAATCATCTAAATGTCTCTATTATTAGTTCTGCAGAACTACAGACATTGCGATTGTACTTGATATTTATGGTGAGGAAGTCATAAGATTCATAACATTTGGCATAAAATTTAGTTAAAATCTCAATGAAGATCTATAATTAAAACAAGCCATTACTGTGGCCACCCACCAAAACAGCTGTGTTGCAATCCAAAGCTCTATATAACAATAATTTTATTAGTTTGCATATTATAATTGATTTCTTTTAACTATACATTCATTTTAAATAATGTAACCAGAAATGTATTAAAACAATATGCTTCTTGCTTTTTAAATGCATCTTAAGCGACCAGTAAGTATATGGAATCCTCGACTTTTGCTCAATTTTTACCAGAAATATCGGTTTATCCTCGAGGGTCTAATCCAAAATTTAATAAAAATCAACTTGCCTCTCAAAGCTTATCTGATTTGTTTTCTAACTCGCACCTCTAGGATTATTAGATTTTTTTGCCATAGGGAGCACAGACATTTAAAATTTTAAAACCAATATCATTGTAAATTTTAAGATCAAATTTATAAAACTTAAATTTATGAATTATTTGTTTTTAAAAGACTGTAGCTTTGTGGGACATGCGAAATCTAAAGTTAAAACTCCACTCGTTTGAATCACACAAGGATGAAATATTCCAGGTATAAAATAATACATAATTCTATATTGAATCAATTTTGCACATAACTAAACTAACATTCATTTAAGGATGAGATTAATTTCTTTATAATGATTACTCAATGTTGGAAGCAAAACTATTTTAAAAAAATAGGCTTGTATTCCCATTAACATGTAATTTTATATAAAAAAGTATTTGAATATTATTGTCGAAATAATTAAAATGCCATTTTTTAAGCATTATTTTTAAAAATAATTAAAAGGTACAATGGTCCCCACATAACGAAACTATATTGGCCTCGAGTGGCACTGATAGGCGTCTCCACATATGGGATCTCAGTAAGATTGGAGAGGAGCAAAGTCCCGAGGATGCTGAAGATGGACCCCCAGAATTATTGGTTTAATTATATTTTATTGTTTCATAATACTCTCGTATAAAATGGTTTTGTTAATTATAAATTAAAGGCGTTTCGAATTATATAATAGCGTTATTATTTTAAATTTTTATAACAAAATAGGTTTATATTAAAATTGATAACTTGGAATATAAAAAGTTTTTTTGCAAAATAGGCCCATAATCATACCTTTTAAATAAATTTATACTTAAACTAGTCAAATCAAACTTTATTAAATTAATAACTAATGGGCCCGGGCTTTGAAATGGAATTATTTTCCAAATTCGGGCCAGATAATATGACCTTTACTGCTCTTTGATAATAATAGAATATATATTAAAATAATATATTATAAACTAGGGCTGTGCCGATCCACATATTTTTTACCGATCCGATCCGATATTGGTTCAAAACCGATCCGATACCGATCCGATATTTATATTAATTTTTTACCACCCCTCTTTGAACCAAATGTAATTAATAAATCAATATTTTTTATGCATAAAAGAATTATGCATAATTTAATTTTTTTATTTCAACAATAATTTTAAAAAAAATATATAATAATATATCCATTTTATGTTGGTTTATAAAATTGTAATATTTAATATATAAAATTATAATATATTAGATTTTTTTTAATAAATATAAGAGCCTCTAGATTTTCAGGCAATAGGCTTCTACGATGAGGACTATCAATATCCCCTGCCGTACTGAAGGCAGACTCAGATGGGACACTTGTTGCTGGAGGAGCCAAAAATTTACGTGCAAGTGTTGATAAAGTTGGAAATTTTACAGCATTAACTCTCCAATATTCAAGTGGATTCACTGGGGATATAATATTAATATCATCAATGTTATTCGAGTTTTCTAAATAAATAACACAAATATAAAATTAGCATTTATAAAATAGTGGGTTTCATACAAACCCAATCTTTTGTTGATTTTGAAAAATCACCCAAACAAATGGGTCAATCATAGCCCAACCAAGCAATATTTAAATTAATATGAAAAATATATTGTCATACTTTCTATATATAAAGATTCTTTTAAATATTCTTTGATTTCTATTAGGTATGGCAGGTCATCATTTACATTACTATCGATTTCATTTATTACTAGTTTTTCTTTGATTTTCAATTTATAAGCATCCCTTAAATTAAATTTGCATTTTTTAATGTTATGTGGAACATTTTTCTCATTGTCATTACCTAAGTTAACAATAAAATCTAAATTTATTTTAAAAAATATAAAACCTGGCGAATCTTTATTAGAAATTGGAAGTTGAACATTATCATCACCTTTAAAAAAAGACTCACATGCAGTCCTGAGCTTTTCTATGTATGATATGTTTTTTGGCAAAAAGAAATCCTTATATCGAGGATCAAGTAATGTTGCGACAACATAATTGTCATCATCATAAATATCAAAAAACCGAGTTGTTAATTGATTATTAGTGGTATTCTTCATAGTCTGCACACCTCTATCTGTGTCCCCATTAATTGTTAATTCACTTTTCAGAATTTCAACAAAGGGTATAACATTGCTAATTGAACATGATTCCGTACTTATTTCTTTTGTTACTCTCTGAATTGGTTCAAGAACATCAATTACCCTTTCTGCTAATTCCCACTCATATAATGAGAGATTTCCCAAATTAGGATTATCGATAATGAACAGCTGTACCGCCCTTTTTTGTTCTATCAATCTTTCGAGCATATAATAGGTAGAATCCCAATGGGTGGGCACATCCTGGATTAATTTGTGCTGGGCTAGACTTAATCGAATTTGGATTTCTTTTAGACAATTTTGTGCAATAGAAGAATGTTTAAAGTGTCCTACTATTTTTCTAACCCGGGCAAGCATGTCAATAATAGATCTCTGTGATAAAATTGCTGCCTGTGCAACCAATTGCAAACTATGTGCAAAACAAGAAACGCTTTGAAATTTCCCATTTTTCATGGCCAAAGTTATATTGGGTGCATTATCTCTAATGATTAGGTGTATTTTATTTTTCTTTATACCCCAATAATTAATAATTTCATCTAAAATTTGAGCAATATTTATTGCTGTATGCGACTCATTAAATGTTTTAACATTTAGAACTCTATTAATTTGTTGAAAATTTTGGTTTATATAGTGGCATGTTAATGAGATGTGAGAATCGCCACCTGAATTTCTAGTCCATATATCTACCGTAAAGGATAAAAAAGAATCGTCAACCAAAATTTCTTTACGAATTTTTTCGGAGAGTTTTTCATATATATCCGGAATAACTCCTTGCGAAAAATACTTTCTATTGGGAATTTTGTAATTTGGACATAAATGATGTAAAAGCCTTTTAAAGCCTATATCCTCCAAGATAGAAATCGGCTGGTGGTCACGCTATCATTTCCCCTATAAATTTAGAAATTATTATTGATTTAGGATCATAATGTTTCCAAATATTAGTTTTATTAAGAATGGCTGATATTGTTGGCTGACTTTCAGGGCTCTTTTTTTTAAAAATTTGATTTGTTTTTTCTAATATTTCTCGTTCTTTTTGTGATAGCTCTTCGAATTCCTTTTGATGGCAACGCTTCAGTTGTTTCCTAATGTTAGTTGTATTGAACGAATTTTTCAGTATTCCTCCCCGTGAAATTAGAATTCCGCAGATGACGCATTTTGCAAAATTACCTTCATCTTTATCAAAATATTTCCATAATTCAGAAACCATATTTAAAATAATTTTTATTTAAAGTATAAATAATAAGATTGGTGTTATTTTTTTAAAAAATTAAAAATAAATAAAACTTTGGGTGTTCCTTTCTATTTTTATAAAAAAACTTGTAAAATCTATTTAAAAAAATAAATAACATTTGCATTGTTTAAAAAAAAATTATTTATAAAATATTATTAATGTAAAATAGAAACTCGAAATAATTGAAATAATTTATTTTTTTTTATTAAAAAATAATAATTCAAAGTTTCATTACTCAAAAGTTTTATAAGAATTGCATTTTTAGTAAAATTATCGGATCGGGTTTTTTACAGGTATCGGGCCGATCCGATATTTTTGAAAAACGCCAAATATCGGGACCGATCCGATCCGATATTTAATATCGGCACAGCCCTATTATAAACGATAGAGAATATTTTGATTATAGGTTTTATTTTATTTGCGATGAAACCCATCTAATTTCTGTCTGTCAGTTTGTAAACAAATATATATAAATGTTACTAATAATATAATATCAAATTTTTTAGCAAAAGATATTAAAATCGAACAAGATTGTTTAGCTATTTACTTAAGAGGGCTGGAATTGGGTTTTAGCTACAAAATACCTATATATCGGGAAATCTTGACTAGCCCTTTTAAAATTCATTTTAATTATAGTTTATACACGGTGGCCACACATCGAAAATATCCGATTTCTCTTGGAATCCTAACGAGCCTTGGGTTATTTGCTCTGTGTCTGAAGATAATATCATGCAAGTCTGGCAAATGGTTTGTTATATATTTATATTTACCCTAATTTTGCTTTTAGATTTTTGAAATTATGAATATCCTGTCTACCTTAATTTTTTTTTTAGTTTAAAAATAATGTTTTCCATTCTAAATCGCTAAAAATTGGGATTCTCATTTATATCTCCTGGCATCTATTAATATTTATTTCAATATTGATTTAAAACATTTTTAGGAGATGCAAGCGAGATTTCCAATTTTTAGCGTTTTATTCCAAAATAACTAATTTAAAATGAATTTTTTTTAAAGGCTGAAAACATTTATAGTGACGAAGATATAATGGAAACAACTCCTAACCCTACATCCAACACAAGTGTTAATGTCCCTGCGTCTGTTAATGTAAATAACAATATTTCGGCTGCTAATAACTTGAAGGATCCAGAAATATCTGCTAATAATGGTCTCCTTAATCCAACTAATATTACTAGTATTTCTAATTAAATCTTGTAAAAAAAATTTATAATCATTTGAAGTCGCCATTATATTGAGAAAACGTGTTTTTCATTCTTTTGTAAATATATTGCCATGATTCAAATTTATCATAATATTATACGCTCCTTTATAATTAATTTAGTAGTTTTTTTAACGCTATAAAAAAATAATTTTGCCATTCCTGATAATTATTAATTAGCTATAAAAAGAGGATAAATAAATATTTTTAAAAATTTAATAAAGTTCAAAAAAATGTATTATTATATTTTATCAATTCTCTTTATTTATTCGATATTAGAAGTTCACAAATGGCCAAATTTTCAGGCAAGGCTTGGTTGGAATTTAGCTTTTGTCTTGCTTGGCCAAATTTTAGCCTGGCTCGGTTCTTATAATACAAGGCCTAACCTGAAATATATATAAGTTGATGAGGAGTGGCTAAATTAAAAATACTACACTATAGATTATCATATACCAGAACTCGTCTATAGTCTAGTCCCATAATTTTTCAGTACCCAACCCACTGGCCGATCATTGCAAACCTCTATTAATATATACCTTTTTAGATCGCTTAATATCCTATTTTATACATAAAAAACATAGAATCTCCTTTTCTAATTAGTACTGAAAGGACATGTTTTTTTAATGTCACTATATGACACAAAAGCTATCATATTTTTTTAATGGTCATTGTTAAGGAAACATTGGTTTACAACCTTTTATGTTTGAAATTGAAGACTTTAGCTGAGTTAAATGATAAAATTACTCGATTTATCAAAAGAATTTTGGTCATTAAATATAAAGTTATGATGACTGTTTAAACTATATCAATGAAAATTTATAAAACGATTAAATATCATATAGGTAATTAAACTTTAATTTTGAATTCAATTTTTGGCCTGAATAATTTTTTTTGACTATACCGGAATTTTGTTTTTTCCTGAGCTTTCTGATATATAGTTAGTTATTTTTCACTAAAAAATAATTTATTTGAAAGAAAAAATATTTGATTTTAAACCAATGATTTATTGGGTCCTATCTATGGTGAATTTGGAATAGAAATATTTTGATAAAATTTATTGTTTAAAAATGGTATGGATTTAATTAAATATATCAGAGACCTGCAGAGGCACCATTTGCACGGCCCGACCCGGTTTTAAATTTTTTAGGCCCGGCCCGGATATTTTTAATAAAAAATTTTTACGGCCCGGCCCGGATAAATTTAAAAAAAAATTTTTATGGCCTGGCCCGGATTTAAAAATTTAAGGCCCGGCCTGGATATTTTTTAAAAAAAAATTTTTAGGCCTGGCTCGGAATTTTTTAAAAAAAAAATTTCAGGCCCGGCTCGGAATTTTTTAAAATTATATTCGACCTGGTATCTACAAAAATTCACCTATGAGGTATTTTACCATATTTTTCAGCGAGTATTATCGCTTATTATTTAAAAAATACATGAAAAAAGCTAATATTTTGAGAATATTATATTGAATTTATAAAAATTATAAAACTGTTATTTATAAAAATGGATATTTTGAGCGAATCCCGGAAAAAAACCCCTGGAAAAAAAAACCCCGGAAAATAAATCCCCGGAAAATATACCCCCCGGAAAATAAACCCCCAGGAAAAAAAACCCCTGGAAAATAAACCCTTAGGAAAAAAAACCCCCGGAAAATAAATCCCCAGGAAAAAAAACCCCCGGAAAAAAATTCCCCAAAAAAGAGAATAATGAATAAAATATTTTTGTAAATTAAAAATTTTTTTTTGTCTTTATATACGGCATGAAGATCCAAATTATTATTGTTTAATTTTATAAATAAATACCAATTATAGCGTTTTTAATTGATAAACAATTTTTATTCTTTTGATTAAAAATACATTTTAAAACTTTTTTCCGGGGGTTTTTTTCCGCTGGTTTTATTTCCTGGGGGTTTTTTTTCCGGGGGTTTTATTTCCTAGAAGTTTTTTTCCGGGGGTTTTTTTTCCTGGGGGTTTATTTTCCGGGGATTTTTTTTCCAGGGGTTTTTTTCCTATTACCTTCATTTAAAAGAGAATATGAATAAAATATTTTTGTAAATTAAAAATTTTTTTTTGTCTTTATATACGGCATAAAGATCCAAATTATTATTGTTTAATTTTATAAATAAATACCAATTATAGCGTTTTTAATTGATAAACAATTTTTATTCTTTTGATTAAAAATACATTTTAAAACTTTTTTCCGGGGGTTTTATTTCCTGGGGTTTTTTTTCCGCTGGTTTTATTTCCTGGGGTTTTTTTCCGGGGGTTTTATTTCCTAGGGGTTTTTTTCCGGGGTTTTTTTTTCCGGGGGTTTTTTTTCCTGGGGTTTATTTTCGGGGATTTTTTCCAGGGGTTTTTTTTCATATTACCATTTTGAGCATATACTATATTTTTTGCATTTATAAAAATAAAACAAATTAATATTCATAAAAATGGTAATAATATTTTGAGCATATACTATATTTTATATTGCATTTAAAAAAAATAAAACTAATATTTAATTTATAAAATAAAAATAAATCGCTATTTAAAAATTGCATGTATAATAAATAGTATTTTGAAAATATAATCTAATTGCACAATATTAATATAATTTATTTTATAATTTTTAAATATTTTATATTACATTTATAGGTTGGTTTTTCAGGTGTAAAAAAAATTATTAATTTTCATGGATTTACCATCACATTTATGTCTTTTTAGATGTGATGTACCATGTTTATAATTATAAGATAATATACTTGAACAATTCTTACATTGTACGTAGCCAATGTTTTTTTTATTTTCATCTATGATGATGTTAAATTTAGCCCATATTTCAGATTTTAAATTATTATTTGTATTTCTAAAAGAATAAATATTATTTTTAATTTTATTAATTATAATTAGTATTTTGTGCCATGATATTCCTTTATTTGATTGTTTTGGTAAATATTCTAAAAATTTAGATATGAATTATAAAAAATATTTAATACTTGAATATTGGGGCTTATTTAAGATATTCCTTTATTTGATTGTTTTGGTAAAATATGTTGTAAAAATTTAGATATGAATTATAAAAAAATATATTAATACTTTGAATAAATTTGCAGGAAATTAATAATTAGATCGATCTGTGGGTGTTAGGTGTGTTAACCATTACCCAATATTATATTAATCACAACTATAATATAATATAATCTTATAACCATTAACTCATAATGTAAAAATTTTTATAAAAAATATTAAGGCCCGGCCCGGGTTTAACAATCTTAGGCCCGGCCCGGATATATTTTTAAATAAATTTTTTAGGCCCGGCCCGGCTCGGATATATTAAAAAAATATTTTTTTAGGCCCAGCCCGGGTATATTTAAAAAATTTAAAATACGGCCCGGGCCGGGTATAGGGCCGGGCCTGCAGGTCTCTGAAATATATACTTATTTTATTTTCTTTAAAATAACTTTCGTCCTTAACACAGGTTGGCTTAATTTTGATAATTAATTTCTATTTACTATGGGCTAAAAAGGTATTTTATCGAAGTCATTTTATTTTAGTTATCTTGGTGACATTGTTTATTTTTATTTTAATTTTTTCCTTTGCTTTTTTGGCTATTTGACCCATATTTAAGACGGCTAAATAGCTGGTATTAAACCGACCGGACACGGCCTTTTGGAAAAAATTTTTTGGCAAAATATTAAACCATTTATTTATTGGTTAATAAAAAGTTTATTACGATTTATAATGATTATTTTTTTAAAAAATATTTTATAATTTGATGATGGGATTTATTATAAGGGGTAATAAAATAATATTTCAATCAATAAAAAAATAAATGATTTTTAGCATTTGTTTATTGAAATTATTAATAAATGACGATTTTTGATTGATATAACCTTCCTTTAATAATGGGCTTGAAATACAATATGGTTTAAGTAGTTTGAACAATAACTAAAATTTATAACCATATTTACTTAGATGTATTAGGATTTTGGCTAAGGGGTAGAGTAAGCACTATTAGATGGTTCTTTCCCCCCATAAATCTTATTCGATATCTTTAGGAATCGTTTATTGTAATTGTACACCTTAATTTGCTTATATTACAATTTTTTTTTAAAAAATGTTTTAGCTTTTCGCGCCACTTTTTTTAGTAGTATAAAAATGCATTTTTTTCTAATAGCCTTTCAGAATAGATCTAAGCTAGAATGCCATCCAAATTCAATACGATAGGAATTAAATGGACCGAACCCTGCGCCTCGACAAAATTTTAAATTATTTTTTGATAATATTTCATTTTCTATATAATAATAATAATATGGATCGTGGGATCAATTCCAATATTGAATTGGTTAATATAGAAGTTTTTCCAATAACAAAAATTTATATTGGATAATCGATTGAAATAGTGATCGGAAAACGAAGAAGGAGAAAATTATTAGTTTTATTACCCGATGCTTGGAAATATTTTATAAAAAAGTTTTACTTAAACGTTAATATAATTAAATATTTTTTACATTTATTGAACTCGTTGGCATATTACCGAAACTAATTATTTTTTTATTTCAAAAGATTGATATATATATTTACCACCTCTTAAGAATAACTCCATCTATGGAGGAAATTAATATTTTTCATGCCCCCTTCCTACTTTCCCTTAACCACCATTTACGCATTTAAGGGTATTAAATTGGTAATTTTGTTTTTTTTTATAAAATATTGATTTATCGATAATTTTTATTAATTAATATTCTATAATATTTTAGGCTTGATTTTTTATTCCTATAAATCCTAAAAACAATTCAAGAATTAGTGGTTTAGAATGAATTTTATCCTGGAATTTCATGGAAATCAAATATGCTTTTTTTCTATAATCGATGAAAGGAAAGACAGAAGGAGAGAAAAAAAGTGATAAGAATATATATAATAACAAAAAATAAATCTTGAGTTATAAAGTGTAAATTGGAAAATAAATTTGAGCCATCGACAGAAATATAATTTTAGAAATTATTTCTTTGAAAGCCTTGCTTAAATACTTTACCTCAATGATGATCTCGTGTTGTAACCATACACCCTTCTTATAGTAGAAGTACCAGTCTAGTTAAATGTATGTAAAGTTTCAGTATAAGAATTCGATGAAGCATAAATATAATAAAATAATAATATTTCAAATAGTGTATAAAATAATCTAATTAATCTTTACCTAATGT